CCACAGCCAGAGACTAGGGCCAGGAGTCAGCCTGTCTCCTCCAGGGCAAAGGTTCGGGAGCCACACGGGGCGGTCCTGGAGCAGCTATCCTCCCCCAGCCTGACCCCGTCCTTCCTGAGCCCTCTTTCCCTGCCCTCCCTGCCCACCCTGCACTGGGCATCCTGCCCAAACCTTGCTCCTTGCTGAGCACACTGCCCCTCACACCTGCCCTGCCTTGGTCTTTCTCCCCAGGCCTGCTCCTCCCTGTGCCCCTCTCCCTGGCGCCTGGCCCCCGGCACTTCCTTCTCCCCTTCTCCCCGCCTCTAGGCGCAGCCCTTGTACACTCTCCTAGCTGATGCACGCCCCTCCCTACTCCGTGATGCACCACACCAGGTTCTTCCGCCTCTGCCACAAGGCAAGGGTGGAAGAGAAAACTGTACTCAGGACTTCCGCTCCCTTGGCTGAGGGCCTGGGTATGGTAGGTAGCCTGACACCTCAGGGCATCCAAAGGCCTGTCCCTCTTTGTGGAGTAAAGAGAAAATATCAAGGTGGGGAACCTTGGTGAAGTCAGCTAATGGGGTCACTGCCGGGCCCTCACCCCCAGACACCTCTGCAGTCTCTGCTGGTGTGGATTGCCCCAGGACTGGCAGAGCCTCTGAAAGCCCTCTGTGAGGAATACCATTTTGCAGACTCCGAGGTGTCCTCTTCCTTTCTTCTGGGGCTTCCTCCGCTGCACTGTTTGGGGGTGACCAGTGCAGGCAGGAGGGAGGTCTCCTGTCCTGCCCCCGTTGAGCTGGGGCAGCCTGGCCCCGGTCCTGGGGCAGCTGGCTCCGTGAAGACTGTTGTGATGTCGGTGACTTTCTGGGGTCGCGTACGGGTGCTCAGACCCATGACCTCTTCTGCAGCGGCTGCTCACATCTTTCCAGGAAGCTGCTTGTCATTATCCTGCCCAGAAACAGCTTCTTTGTGAGACTCCCTTCCTGTTCAGCGCGGCGCTCAATTCAGATTGCTTTTGAGTTGCGGTGCCTGCAGCGTGCCCTCCGCGAGCACGCTGGCCTGAGTGCCCACACTGCACTCCGTTCATCTTGCCTCCTGGTCACTGCTGGGCGCTCGGTGGGCACTCCGTGAATATTTGTTGAGCGGTTGAGTGACTCTCTGAATAAAGATATGTTCATGTGTACTCAGGGCCTGGCAGAAGAGGGGGCTCTACAGACTAAGTTGGTGGAGGGCAGGGTGGGGGACTGAGTCTACAAAGAGTGTCGGCCACGTCTCGCCGATGTGCACGGCCACCTTGCCCGGCTCTTGCTAACTGGCAGCAGAAAGCCGGCCGCGCGAAGCATCCCTTCTCAAGGTGGCTTCTCCACTGTTCTGCCCACCCGATGCCTCTTGAGTCCGCTGAGAGCTTCAGAGGTACAGAGCAGAAGCTGAGCTCCTCTCGCTCATGTTCCTTGAGGTTGGTGTCTTCCCCACCATCCTTCATGGCCAAGTTGCATTTGTCAACTCCTGGAGTTTTGGTTTAAAGATGCCTCTTGCTGCTGGAGCAGGTTTGGAGCGGAGGACTGTCCATCGAACACCTGGTCACTCTGGAGCTGGGCGTTCCCTTGGGTCCAGGCAACCTCACTCCGAGTGTGAAAATGCTCCTCTTTTCTGGGGTATTTTGCAGAAAAAAAAAAACTCTTAAAGGACAGCATCTAGAGCAGCTTCGCAGTCCACAAGGAGGGGCCGCGTGGAGGGGAACCCTGAGTGTGGCTGTGGCCCGTGCTCCTCACTCACAGAGCCGTCTCTGGCACCTCAGCGAGTTCTCCTTGCTTTATTCTGCAGTTCACTGAGCTCCTCACTTTAGGACCTGGAGGAAGGTGGCTCCAGTTTCCAACCCTACTTTCCTCAGTCACTCATGTTTAGTGGGATGGAGGGGACAGAAAGGAGACACCTTAAATCTGTTCTCTACATGTTTATGTCTTTGTTGATATAAGACGGTAGAAACAACGCCAGCAGTCCCTGCTTTGCATTAGCTTGAGGTGTAAGCAGAAGAGGTGTGTGTGACATTCAGAGAGGATGGACACCTCAGCAGCTTCCCTGGTGGTGACTAAGAGCAGGCCTTGCCTCCAGGCATCGCACAAGGCAGCGGCGCAGTTCCGAGGCAGGAAAACCGTTCCTTCCCAGCCCGCAAGTGCTCAGCTAAGGGTTGAGGCCCCGGCCTTCTGCCACCCACTCCTGCTCAAGGTCTGCAGTGGGGAGAAACAGGGATAGCACCCGCTCTGGTGCAGCTGGGTTTTCCTGCAGGGCCAAGCGAGGCGGTGAGTCGGGTTGAGACACTGTCTGCCCCTTCCTTCTGTTCCCTAAGCCTCTTCCCCACTCTGTGTCACCTCAGCTGCCACCAAAGCCCCTGCTGAAGGGTGCTGCTGATCATAGAGTGACACCCTCCAAAATAAGGTTGCCACTTGGGACTCTCCAGGTGCCAGCACCAGCCGGCCCCAGCTCACACTGCTGTGTTCTCTCGTCTCCCGCGTGGCAAACATCTGAGAGCCAGTCTCATGGGATGCTGAGAAGAGCGCTAGACTTGGTGACTCAGGCAAGGAGCTGCAGGGCCGGGAAGGAGAGAAATGAGTAAAACTCTTATATTCTGATTAGAAAGTAGTTCTCCCGAGCAGACATTCAAATAGGAATTCCTCTAATACCTGGCACATGTAATTCATCCCTGCCCTGCATGCCACCGGGACTTGGCAGCTCCCTCTGAAGTGCTTTGCTGGTGTGAGCAACTTGATGGTGACAGGCGGCCGCTCTGCCCTGGGCTGACCATCCTACCATGAAAGGATGCTTTGCCATCTAAGTTCTCCAAAAGAAAGGACACAGCTATCCGTGGGGGTCATGCAGACAGAGGGTCAGGAGGTGGGGGAGAGGGCGGCGGCGAGGGCCAATGCCATGTGGCGGGCTCTGCTCCAAGAACAGGTGAGGCAGGACAGGCGGGCTCAGGCCTAGCTTGTTTAACCATCTCAGGGCAGAGGAACTACTCCTAGTCAGCTGGTGCCTAGGCCTGGCCAGGTGGTAGCGGAAGGGCCTAGAGTGTGGTGTGCATAAAGAAGGTATTTGGGGTGCGGGTTCTGGGCAGATGTTTTGCATGGGAATAGGAAGGATGTGCTCACAGAGCTACTGCTGACTATATCTGTGAGACCTAGGGAGCCTGGAAGGGCAGACCCTTAGGATCAGTGAGGCCCCCAATGTCAAATATCAGAGTGGAGAAAATAAAGGCACGTGGAGAATGTGGGTGGCAGTGCCCTCCTGCTACACTGAAGAAGCAAGCGATGGCTTTCTCTGGCTGGACCAGGAGCACCGCGTCTCCCCGCCTCCTCCAGACCGTGCCAACCACTCTGCACCTTGCATCCCCACCACCGAGGTGCCCGGAGTTTCCCATCGGCTCCGGTGGGTCCCACCTCCTTTCCAGCATCCAGCTGCCCTGAGCCTGTGTTCATGGCACCTGCTCTGTGAGAGATTTGAGGGTGGCGAGTGGGGGAGCATCCTACAGGCAGTGCTGGACAGAGCTCTGTTGTGGGTGCTCCTGGGGGAAAAGCCCCATTTTTCTCATCTACTGAAATGCCGCCCCTCATTCAGGGTGAAAGCAAACTTCTCCAAGACCTTTCCAGCCCATTCAAATTTTCTTGGCTTCTCCAAATTTTGGGGTCTTACAGCGTAAAACACACTGTTTGGTGCATGTATGATTTCTTTCTTCCCCTTGCTGGCTGTATAAAACTGGAAAGAAGCTTGACTTCTGGTCTGTGTCCCGTCTAAGCTTCTATGTCTCAACACCATGAAGAGCAGGGTTAACTAGTCCTTGCTGTGCTGGGTCTCATCACCAAGAGCCACCCATGGGCACCGGAAAGCAGGCCCTTGGCTCGGGTGGATGCTTGCAGGCCCTTGGCTCAGGTGGATGCTTGCAGGGATTTGCTGCCTGCCCCACCTACATGGGGAGGGCATCTGCAGACCTGCCCGCAGCCTAGGGCTCAGAGGGGCCCCTGTGTGGAAGGCAGCAGCCATCCCTGCCTGGAGATTTGGCCTGTTTGCCTTTGATTTTTCCTACCATCCACAGTGGGGCTCAGAGTAACTTGTGATTATAACCAGATTTTTGGACTTAGTTGCTGTAGAATTAACCAATGCTTGTCCTGCAGTTAAAGAACAAGAAAAAGAAAAGATCAGAACAAAATGAAACCGTTTTTCTATCGTTTCTCTTGCCTATGTCTGTCTTCTAATTTGCTGTTTTCCCACTGAACTAACTGCTTTGTGAAGAGCAGCTACAGTCATCCGCAGGGAAGTTTGCTAATTTTGCTGGCCAGCCTGTGGGCAGTGCAGCACCCCGTCGCCTGCCTTCTTCCGTGGCTTCATGCTCCTGTGTTCCCCAGACTAATCTGTCACCATCTCCAGGTGACGCTATGGGCCAGTTAGTGCAGAAATGGCCACACTGGGCTGAAGGAGGGAGAGCGTGGCAGAGAGGACAGAAAGCCCTCTCACGAGCCGTTCCATTTCCGTGGCTGTTTATAAAAAGCTTGCATTTATTGCCTCATGGAAGGTGGAATGAGGGGACAGTGGCCTCAGTGGCAGAGAGTGTAGCCAGAGCTCATCTGCAGGCGCAGAGCGCCTGTCTGCCTGGTGGGAGAAGCTCACCTGGGGCACACTGGTTCCCTGCTGCAGCCTCATTTCATGACTACCTGTATTGCTTTTTTTGTCTTTCTTTCTACGTGGTTATCTCCTAAGAAATGATTGTGTGGTCTCCTTGTTAGCTAAATACAAGGCAGCCTTTGTGCTTGATGCACATCCATTCTTTCTAGGCGCCCGTTCAGCCTTGCATTTGTGTTGGTGAAGAGCAACAACTGCCTCCTATCCTGCTTGAAATGACTCCCATTTCTCCTGGATATTCCCTGCAAAGTGCAGGTGCCGCCTATACTTGGTCGTTGTGGAGGAATTGTACTGTGGCCGGGCACAGACTAACTTTCTCTCTCTTTTCTTTTCCTTCCCTCCCCCCAGGATTATACCCTAACCATGTATTTTCAACAATATTGGAGAGATAAAAGGCTCGCCTATTCCGGGATCCCTCTCAACCTCACGCTTGACAACCGAGTGGCTGACCAGCTGTGGGTTCCCGACACATATTTCTTAAATGACAAGAAGTCATTCGTGCATGGAGTGACCGTGAAGAATCGCATGATCCGCCTCCACCCCGACGGGACGGTACTGTACGGGCTCAGGTCTGTCGCCTCTTTGGGGCCAGTTTGCATGTGTGTGCTGGCCTTGGATTTCTCACTGGAGATGATGACAGTGAGTGAAGCCAGGTCCTCACATTAATTAGGGAGCATCCGTGAAACACTGGGAGCTCTGCAGAAGAAAAAATTCCTCACCCTAAGATTTGGGGCATTGCTGTGACTAAAAATAGCCACCACGCAGTGATGAAGCAGCCTCTGTGGCTGGATCGTGTGTAATTGGGTTGCCATATCTGGGAGCGCAGACTCCCCCAGGATGGATTTCCCACGTCATGGCCACAAAGGCCTGTAATTAATATTGCTCTGACACTGCAGAGGCTTTCGTAAACTTTTCTCCAAGCTCTTTGACGGCTGCAGAGACGTCTGCTGTGCAGATTATAAGTATCGTCTCTGCGGAGCTCCACTGAGCTGAGCCACGGGTATTTATGGGAATGACTGAGAGAGCTCCCGGGGGAAGAGCAGCTCTTGGCAGGTCTACGGTGCAGTTGCGCCAGTCAAGAAGCCGAGCTGCCTTCTGAGCTCTGAGGGGTGGGCACCCAAGAAACTACCAGCCTCCCGAGGATGGTTCTCTAACCTCCCTCAGCGCTGGTCACTACTCACTTGGAACTTTACTTTGCTAAATAATAGTCTGCAGACTGTCTCTTGCACTGCTTTGCTCTGAGTTTTGTTTTGATGGTAGTGTGTGTGTGTGTGTGTGTGTCTGTGTGTCTGTGTGTGTGTGTGTGTGTGTCCCTGCCTACATGAGCCCGTTCTAGGAGTGGCTCTTAGCTCTCAATGGGACACATATGGATAGCATGGAGAAAGACGTCTCAAACTGTTGCGAATCTATAGCCTGTTAAGAAGATCCACAGCTAAAGGTGGAAACAAAGTGATACGAACTGAAATCCACAGCACTGCCACCTTTAGGGCCTTGAGATGAGTGGAGGGAGCCACTGAGATTGCCCTTAGGTAGGAAATGAGGGGTGAGTTTCTCAAAACCACGGGATTAGAGAAAAGTTTAGGGTTTCTACTGAATCAGACCTTTTCAGTTCTAAGAGAAACAACTAATACATGTCAGCCATGACTTCATAATGAGCCTACGAAGTTTCTTTGGGAAATGTTAAGCATTTTATAATTTTAACAGATAGAATTGTAAAATTCTGGGAGTTGAGTCAAGCAGATCACGTGGACAAAAGGTTATGCAGAAATGTTGTGCTGTGAAGCGAGGAGCTGTTTACCTGCCCCCAAATGGGGCCAGGCCGCATATGCGTATCATGAATGTTTGTGCATGTATATACATGCTGTCTGCATGATTGAGCCCATGTGCATGCATGTGTGCTCATGTGTGTGTGTTTGTGCATGTGCGTGCATGTGTGCATGGGTGTGTGTGTGCGTGTGTGTGTGTCTATGCTTGAGGAGAGCAACAAGAAGGAAATATGAGAGTTAATCTCACACAGTTTTGTGAACAGTGTGTGCTACTTGAGTTCGCCCCACATTTGATTTTGCATTTTTAATTTTCTTATCAGGAGTAGGGTTTATTTTGATATGTTTTTGTTTGAAACAAGTAGCTTTAACTCTTTTTGAATTGAGTTATGTAATAGGCACAGGAAATTTCATAAATCCTGAAATTTTATTTAAAAGTGTCTTAGTAAGCATCCTGAAACAGGCAAGAGTCAGAAAAAGCAAGAAAAAGCTTTAAAAATGCTATCTTTTACTAATGCTTGACCTAATTGTAGGTTTACATATACAATTCAATAATAGTGGTATAACAAGGTATGGAAAATCTGTTTCATCTTTCTAGTTAAAGTTATATCCATTATGCCTTTCAAAGAACCTGCTAAAGCAGCAAAATTTTCTTATAGATGTGCTGACTTTACTGAAGTATCATCTTCACATATTACTTAGAACTTCACCTTCAGTCTCCTAAATTTGAAACAATTCTTCATATTTTTGGGACTATGGACAAACTGTCAGAAAGAAAATCTCCAGGGGCCGGAGAGATGGCTCAGTGGAATAGCGCTTCCCTGGCAAGCACAAGGGCCTGAGTTCAATCCCCGGTTCAGAGAGAGAAAGAGAGAGAGAGAGAGAGAGAGAGAGAGAGAGAGAGAGAGAGAGACTGACTTTCCAAGCTGCAGCTTAGCCAACGTAATCTACAGTGCCTGGCTGCTGCCTAATGTCTTGACTTCCTTGGAATCAGCTAACCTAGAAATTTCTGCCATGATATTTTAATAAAAAACACATAATCACAGCTATTAGTTTGAAATTTTGGACAAAAGATATTTCAAATAATAATTTAAAAAAATTCACATATAATGTCCAGGCATGGTGGTACATGCCTGTAATTCCAGCGCTAGGGAGGCTGAGAACAGAAGGATCACTATGAGTCCAAGCTGCGTGGTGAGAGCCTTCACAATAAATAAATAAACAAATAAATCAATGCACATAAACATATATTAATTTTATCTGTTCCATATAAACTTAAGTACCATTATAAATATATTTCAAAGGTTGTATGTGTGTTCTGATAAAAACAAAACAAAACAAAGTGAGGTGTGTGTGCTCACATTGGAGGGCCGCCGTAGTCTCCACCCCAAATCTTAGCTTCCTTCCTTTGCTGCACATGCTGGCGTGGCAGGCCTGTGCTGGGCGGGGTGTGGGCCTCCAGCTGCACATTGGGCCTTTGCTGTGCTTTTGGTACCTAAGTCTACCTAGCTCTAGGCCTTCCGCAGCTTTAAGTCCTGATAAGATCACCAGAAATCCAAGATACCACTAAACCAAAATTGCGTAGGAAGGCCTGTGTGCTCCCAGCAGCACGGTGGAGCAGCACAGTAGCCCACAGAGGACCGCCTTCTTGCCGAAGCCTGACATTCAAGGGAGAATCATGCTGCGTACTCCCAGCCTGGGAAAAGAACAAACTGCACAACTCGATGTATGGTCGCTCCTGATGCATGTTTCTTTGCAGCATTGTAAAATTGAAAAACTGAGATTTCAGTCATCCTTCAGTGAGGATGTTGTGTGCTAACACACTTGTGGAAATTGGGAGCAGCTCAGAACACAAAATGTAAGTCCCCACACTGGGAAACACAGAGGCCCTGGGTTGCCGCAGCTCCCTTGTGAGGTGCTGTACAGAAAGCACTGGCTGTGTTTCTGAGGTCTTAAAGTACAATTTTTCTCTCCACTGGGCCCTGGTCTTGGCTCTTGCCTATCTCTCCGTTTGTGGCCCACACTGGGAGGTCAGGCCGTATCTCACTCCTTTTTGCCAGCCAGTGCAGTGCCAGGATCCACGAGGGCTTTTGCCTTATCTAGGGCCCACAAGGATCTTTGGCTGTGGACGAGCCATCTGCGATGTACTTCATGCGTCAGCTCAGCCTTATTCTGGGAAATCACTGATCCTTCACTCTGAAGATTGCCAAAGTAGCCCATGACTGATCCTTCAGATGCTCAAGAGCGATCATGTCCTCACAGTGGCCGGAGGTCATTGCGTGCAGGGCACCATCCTTTCTGATCCTTACAGCCCATCGAGCTAGAAAGTCAGGCCAGCGCTGACTTGTGCTCGGCCCCACGACCTCCGCTGGCCGCCGAGGCTCTCCTCAGGTGCTCTGCAAGGTGCTGCTGCACACCACCCTAAGGCCGCTCATGTGTTCTTCCAGAGCGCTCCTCGCAGCCCCCCCTCTGAAGGCACGAGGACAGTCTGGGTACTGGGGTGGGGCTGCCTCATGGGTCCTGGTCCTGCCTGCCCAGCTGTCTGTTTTCTCCTGCACTGGGGTGGGGCTTTGCCCTGCTGCAAGGAGGTGGAGTTCATGACGCCATCTTCCAGACCTTCCTCAGTGTCTGGGTCTCTCAGTGTCATGGAATGTTTGTCTGCACAGTTCAGCACGTGGGCTTCTCTTCATTCGTCTCCAGTCCGTTTCTTGGATTCTAGGGGGTTGTAACAGGGTCACGGATAGAATTCAGTTCTCTCCAAAAGCACCTAAGACTGAGATCTTCACAAAAATGAGGCAATTCATTTTGTCTGAGAGGTTTGTTGAAAAATCGGTTGGATAGTTCATAATATATGAGTTAAGATATATGCTGCCAAAATGGCTTCAAATTGTTAATGTTGTCATTGCCATACTGAATAGCTTGAGAGCAATATTAAATCAAAGCTAGGAAGTATTTCAGAGTGTTCAAACTGAGTCGCTCTAGTAAGCTAACATCTTACTCTGAAGCTAGAAAAGTTCAGGGTTTCTGGTCAGTTACCACTTTTTCCCAGAAAAGATGTAAGCTCACAGCAGTGCTAAGGCCAGCGGGCCCAAGGGCCAGTGTGCCTGCCCGGCTCCAAATACCTGCTTTGTCGCTATTTATTTCCCAATTATTTTTAGGTCAGAAAGCAACAGTGATAAATTGCTTTCTAGAAGGGACTGTGCTAATTTATGTTCTCAACAGTGATTATAAATATTAGCTTTAGGATTGTGACACTTGCACTGGGATTTGTGGTTATTAAGGTTACTAAAAATAGTTAATCCCTCTTTCTCAACTCTCAAGGCTGGAGAAATCCCCCATCTCACTTTAAATTCAGGCTTATGCATCTCTCCACTTTCCTCATCTCCCAAGCACGTTCCTTCTGTCCTTCTTCATGAGAAGTGTTTCTATTTTCTCTTCACAGCCTCCTCCTTGCTCTCATTTGAAAGTACCGTCTCCACTCTAGTTGAAAGCACAGTGATTTCTTAGTAATAATTTGGTCCTGGTGGCTCTCAACCTTCCCTTCCAGCTGGTCACCTCTCCACTCACCGTGCTTGCAGTGTGCAGACTCCATGTCCCTGTCACAGGGCCTCTGTCGTTCTCTTTTCTGAATACAGAATACCTTGTCCACTAGATATGAGGAGGTGTGATAGGAAAATACAATTAATGCCTGAATTCAACAACATTACTACAGTAAAACATGCATTGTCATTAATCTCCCTCAAAATTTCCCCTTTACTTCAAATGTTAGCCCATTCCCTTGACGCTTTCTGCAGTAGCTCTGCACG